TTTCTTTCTTGTGTTGGCTTCAAATCTTGATCCTCAGCTCTCAGCCTCCTGAAAAGCTAGGATTACTGGCTTGGCTTGAGCCTGTAGTCCTAGCTGGTGTTTTTAGCTGCTGAACCAGTTTTAAAAACGGACTCTCTTAGACCTTTTCTTCCCTATATGACTTGTCTCTCAATCTCCCAATGACAGTGTAAACATTGGGTTATGGTTAGCAGCTTATTAGTTTGCACTGTTTTTGAAGTCTACATTCTTTTTTTTTTTTTTTGTTGGTTGTGGGGCCTGAACGCTGGGCCTGGGTGCTGTCCCTCAGCTCTTCAGCTGAAGGCTAGCACTCTACCACTTGAGCGTCAGCCCCACTTCCGGCTTTTTCTGCTTATGTGGTGCTGAGGAATCGAACCCAGGGCCTCATGCATGCAAGGCAAGCGCTCTACCACTGAGCCACCTTCCCAGCCCCTACATTCTTATGATTATGTATTTCTACTGAGGTGGTTTCTTTTGCATAATTTATAGCAAGCTATTTCTACCCTCACAGTGAACTACACAGGTCATTACCTTCGGTAGCCGCATGGGAATTTTAGAATAGATGTATCATCTGGACTTTAAGAAATTATTTCCAGTAGTAGTCTAGTTCTAGATTTCAGCATTTGATCATTGCTAAGAGGATGTCCTTGGCTTACTTTGGTCTTTTGGAGATAAACTCAGTCGAGACCAGATCTGAGATCTCACCTTCCAGGTCTCTGGTATCAGCTACTAGTCCACTGACCACTTCTCCCTGTGGTTTGGTGTGTGCTCCCGCCACGTGGAGCTGGGCCTGTGACCTTGCTCCTGTTTTTCTCTTGTCAGGCTGCATTCCTGGTACAGTACCTGTGGCCCATGCCAATGTCTTCTTGGAATCCATGTGGCGTTCTGCTTTACCTGATGGAAGCCATATCTTTTAACCGATAAAACCTTGGGAAGGCAGAGCAAATCTCTCCTTTACCTTGAACCAAGGTTATTCCTAACTGATTCCCTCTCTCCTCAGATGGTGTGAGCTCTGTGAAAAAGCCCTCACTCTGCTCACTCGGTGATGTCCAGGTCTGCTGCCTGTCAGGAGGACCAGCCTGTGTGACGGGAGCTGGGAGCACATGCCAGGCAGGACTCTTCTGTGTAGTCCTCTGTTCCTTCATTGCATGCAGCCCTCTAGATTTGGCCTTACCTCCATGGTGCGGGTGTGTGTGTGTGGGGAATACAGTGAGGAGACGCACCCGGGGCCTCTGGCAGTTATCTCTACTTGGGCTGGCAGGTTTGAGCTGCCCTGGGTCACAGGCAGATTCCTGTCTTGGGGGGAATCTTGGTCTTCTCTGCAGCACCAGCTACTTCAAGATCTTCCTTGAAGAGGAGCCAACTGTACTGTCTCCCCTGTCAGCTTTCCGTGGGGCTGATTCCTAGGCAGCAGCGGGTGAGATGGACGCACACAGAGCCGGTTGGTCAGACCCTGGCTGTGCTCCTCCTTCCTCTTAGGGTGGGGAGACCCTGGCTGTGCTCTTCCTTCCTCTTAGGGTGGGGCTAGGGTGATGGCAGTGCTGCTAGTCCTTGTTCTTGGTGTTCCTGCAGTATTTTGGTTTTCATACATGATTGCAGTGCACTACCTTTGCTTCTTGAGTTGCTCTTGATGGTGCCTCTATTTCTCTTATCCTCTTGGGGTTTTCCCTGTTCTTGGTTTAAAAAAAAACAAAACACAAAAAACTTTTGCTAAAAACAAAGACATGACCATTTCATTAGCCTGGGCCTACAGGGTCACGGTGACTCATGTCGCTACCATCTTGCCCTCAGGGCCAGTACCACCTGGGGAGTTGTCTCCCTCCCCAGGGGAAGGCCTTCATGCATGTGCCTGCCAGGACTGCTTTACAGTGCACTTCATTCTCCAAGTAGAAAAAAGGCAGTCTAAATCATAAAAAGTACAGGGTAATGAATATAGGAATGGATGATATAGTCCTTTGTTGTCATTATGAAGAACTGTGCACTTTATGCTAGTGTATGTGTCTTTTCTTGTATGACTGGTAAGCAGTGGGTTTGTTACACAGCACCAAACACACATCTACTCACACGCCCACGGCCTTGTGCTAGGACATAACACACATCTATTCACACACCCACGGCCTTGTGCTAGGACATAACACACATACACTCACACGCCCACGGCCTTGTGCTAGGACATAACACACATACACACCCACGGCCTTGTGCTAGGACATAACACACATATACTCACATACCCACGGCCTTGAGCTAGGACATAACACACATATACTCACACGTCCACGGCCTTGAGCTAGGACATAACACACATATACTCACACGCCCACGGCCTTGAGCTAGGACATAACACACATATACTCACACGTCCACGGCCTTGTGCTAGGACATAACACACATACACACCCACGGCCTTGTGCTAGGACATAACACACATCTATTCACACACCCACGGCCTTGTGCTAGGACATAACACACATATACTCACACGCCCACGGCCTTGTGCTAGGACATAACACACATACACACCCACGGCCTTGTGCTAGGACATAACACACATATACTCACATACCCACGGCCTTGTGCTAGGACATAACACACATACACACCCACGGCCTTGTGCTAGGACATAACACACATATACTCACACACCCACGGCCTTGTGCTAGGACATAACACACATACACACCCACGGCCTTGTGCTAGGACATAACACACACATACTCACACGCCCACGGCCTTGTGCTAGGACATAACACACATATACTCACACGCCCACGGCCTTGTGCTAGGACATAGCACACATACACTCACACACCCACGGCCTTGTGCTAGGACATAGCACACATAACACACATATACTCACATGCCTACAGCCTTGTGCTAGGGGATAATGACTGCCACCTTACGAACTTTTAGCTCTATTGTAATCTGTTTTTTTTTTTTTTAAGGTAGTCCTACTATGTTTCCCAGAACTCCTACACTCAAGTAATCCTCTTTCCTCAGTCTCCCAAGTAGATGAGACTCTATGTGCAAGTCTCTGTTCCTTACTTAGATCCATTATAATCTAATGGGATCACTGTTGTAATATATTGTTGATCTTTGATGGAAAGCATTGTTAGTTGGCTCATTATTGTCTAAAAACTAAACAGACTATGCAGAAAAAAATATATACTTTAGACTATAAAGTATATATGTATGCATACATATATACTTTAGATTATAGAATAAAATTGGCTGACTTTCAAGGAGAAATTGATAAATCAATAATCATATGAGCTAATTAATGTGAGCTATCTTAATCTGCCTTTTTTAGTAGTTGATAGAACACATTTACACACATAAGTAACAGTAAGATTTTAGTGATACATATTCAAGCTCTGGTCATTAAAAAATGCAGCCATATATATTCTCTTGAAACATGTGAAACATTTTCTGAAACTCTCCTTGTGTAAAGTAAGTCTCAGTTTTTTTCAGACTATGTTTTCTATTCAAATTAATTAACTCAGAAATCAATAAGCCTAGTGTATTGTTGTACACCTGTAGTCCCAGCACTTAGGAGGGAAAAACACTAAAAATCATGAAAATTAAAGCTGAAGTCACAATAGAAATATCTATAGTTGACAACTCTTAATGATATAAATGACTTGCGGAATATGCACTACTTGGAGGGAAATTTATATCCTTAGAGTTATGAATTTGAGAAAAAATAAAGGCTGAAAATCAATCATATGTTTCCAAGTCAAGAAACTATAGGGGGGCTGGGAAGGTGGCTCAGTGGTAGAGCGCTTGCCTTGCATGCATGAGGCCCTGGGTTCAATTCCTCAGCACCACATAAGCAAAAAGAAAAAAGCCAGAAGTGGCGCTGTGGCTCAAGGGGTAGAGCGCCTGCCTTGAGCTGAAGAGCTGAGGGACAGCGCCCAGGCCCAGAGTTCAGGCCCCACAACCGGACCCCCCCCCCCCAAAAAAAAAGAAACTATAGGAAGCAGTAAAACGTAAGGTTCAGAATGGAAATTTGCAAAATGGAGGAAAAAAAAGTATGTCTTCTATTAATAGGATATATTGCATTGACTTTTGGGGGGGGGGGGGGATGGTAGGGATTGAACCCAGGACCTTGACCTTGATAGCAAAATGCTCTACCTCTGAGTTATATCCCTAAGCCCTTAGTTATCAGACAAGTTGTCCTTGCCAAGTACCCTCTTGCCTTTGCCCCTCAAGTGCTAGGACTAAACACTCGGAAGCCCGTAAGGCATGTCCAGTGCACTAATAGATATTTTTCCGTAAGGCCCGTAAGGCATGTCCAGTGCACTAATAGATATTTTTCCGTAAGGCATTTCCAGTGCACTGGTAGATATTTTTTTTGAATGTTCAACCAACTTTGTGTTTTAAGCCAAATTCCACTTCCAGTTTTCTAGTGGTTAATTGGAGATAAGAGTTTCAAAGACTTTCCTGCATGGGTTAGCTTTGAACCAGGAATATTAGATCTCATTTTCCTGAGTAGTTAGGATTACAGGCATGAGCCATAGGTGCTTTGCTGGAAATTGTTTTGGTTATGAACTCGATCTCTTATTTTTGGTTAAGTGAGATTTTTCTATTTTTTTTTCCTTGAGTCAATTTCTATACACTATTCATGTTTATAAGAATTTGTTCATTTTATCTACTTTATCTAATTTGCTGATATAAAATTGTCTGTTGTGTTTCCGTATAGTCCTTTTCTATGTCTGTAATTTTGGTAATAATATTCTCTTACAAATTATTCTAACACTGAGTCTTTTTTTTTTTGACAGTTTAGGGAAAGGTTGTCAGCGAGTCCAACTTTTGGACTTGGTTTTCTGTTCTCCCATTTATTTTTGCTGTATGTTGGCGATTTTGTTCCTTCTGCTTGTTTTGGGTTAGTTTTGTCTTGATTTTCTAGTTTTGGAGGTAGAAGCTTCATTGGCTCAGCTGAGATCCTTCTTCTTTTTCAAGTGCAGGTGTTTTCGCTGTGGAGGACCCAGCTCTGTGCTCCTGCAGCTGGCGGCTGATTCCTGCTCCTGAGGCGTACAGGAAGCGGATGGGGCTGGGGTGAGTCAAAACACCACCAAACACTGCTTTTCTCGAGTCCAGTTCTCCTGGAATAAGTGACCCCTGCATTCCGGTAACTCGTGATTATTTCCACTTAATTAATATACTTGTTAATTTTGATAGTGGAAAGAGCTGTCAGCTGCTATCACTCTGCCATTCCCAGTGTTGTCAGCTACTTGTGTTTTATACTTAAAAGTTTTCAAAAACGGAATGTGACTGCTACAGAATATCTTATAAAAATTAACACATCTATATATCACAGGGACATAAGTTGTGTTAAGAGTAGCTAGCCATTTTAGTGCAGGGCTATGGTACTGATGCCAGAACATTCTAGAATGCTGAGAAATTAAAACATGTGACACTAGTGCAGAGAGCAAAGTGGTGTCAGAGCCACTGTTGAATCTGGAGCCCAGCTTCTGAATGAGTGATTGGCAAGAGACGGAAGACCATCCTGTGTTAGAGACAGCAAGGCTGACCAGGGGACCAGATGTGTTCCTGAAGTGTACCAGCTGTGTCTAGCTGAGTGTTGGCACACTTTTGCCCTGAGTACTGTTGGCCCTGGTGTGTGACTGAGGGTGTGGAGAGGAGGTGATAGCTCCTGGATGTTTGCAGTGGAGGTGGATGGAGGTCAGCGGGCCCATTGCTAGAGGACTGGCAAGCTGTACGCTGGTAGTAGAAAATACAAACAAACATTCTCAGGGTGGTTCCTGAGTCCTGAGTCCAAATCTAAAAGATCGCTAGATTTTTAAGACAGAGTTATCCTCTTCCAAGTTCAAAAGTTGGTAAGACAAAGTGGCACCATGTAATAGCTAAGTGATGACCCCTTCATACTGATATTAAGACCATCCGTAGCGGCACATGCCTATAATAGGAAGAGAGGTAGGAAGACTGACATTCAAGGGCAGCCTGGGCAAAGCCAGCTTGAGAACACTATCAAACTAAAAGCAAAACAACTGAGGGGTCAAGAGGCGAGCGTTTGCCTAGAATGCTTGAGGGCCCGAGTTCAGTCTTCAGTACTTCAAAAGATAAAAACATGTGGCAAGGGAAGGGCAGAGGTCTTTAATGCCTACAATACTTAAAACATATTTTTATTGTTATTATAAAGGTGATATACAGGGGGATTATGGTTACATAACTCAGGTAATGAGCACATTGCTTTTTGCACAATGTCACCCCTTCCCTGGCTCTCTCCCAGTTTTTCCTTCCTGTCCTCACCTACAAGTTTCATAGTTCATTTTCAGCATAGTTTCTAGTGAATACCATTGTGCATTTGTTCATTCTTTGTTCTTCCCACAGTACTTTTTATGCCAGAAGAATATTCACTGCTAGTTGTATTTTATTTTGGATTTACGTTATATAATATACTAACCTTTAAAAAAAACAACAATGTAAACTCTTACATTAGATGTAAAAGCAGGCAGATCTAGAGATCACAAAATATATGACTGCATTTAGGGTTTTTTTAAAAATGGCAGTCTTGGGGAACTCTGGGCCTGGGCAGTGTCCATGAGCATTTGGACTTAAGGCTAACACCCTGCCACTTAAGCCGCAGCTTCATTTCCAGCATCTTGGTGTTTAATTGGGGGCAAAAGTCTCATGGACTTTCCTGGTGGGACAGGCTTTGAACTTCTGTAGTCAGATCTCAGCCTTTTGAGTAGCTGGGATTACAGGGGGAGCAGCCGGCACCCTCCTGCATTGAACTCTTTTAGGACGTCAGCACCATAGTTTTAGTTCCCCGTCACTTCTGTGACTTTCCTAGGAGGCTCTTCAGCTGTGTGCAGCCAGTATGTCTTTGACCTTCGGTTTGCAGATAACCTCCATTTGCACCTCAGGCCAGGGAGAGCAGACTGTACAAGTTGAGCCAGCTGGTTGGTGAGATGGGCCACTGGTTGCACAATCTGAGATGATTTGGATTTTGAGTTCAGCCTGACTCCTTCTGTTTAGACTTGAACTAGATACTTATTCTTTTGAGTGACAAGATGGCTATACCTTCCTCACAACTTTGCTCAAGATCTCTGGAGGTGCTGCCTTGAGCAGTTAAGGACTACCTCCATAGAGTTAAATCCTCTTCCCCTGTGTGGAGAGTAATCAGAGTCTGATCCTTTGGCTCAAGAGAAGTATCTGTCCTTGGTGAGTATCTATGGAGACTGTGAGACAAATGAAGACAAACCTGTATGGTACTGAGTGCACAGTAATTTCCATCTCCTGCCCTAATTTAATTTTGTCATTATTAGGTTCATTTAAAATTTATTTCAGTAGGAGAACACCAGAATTTACAGAATCTTGGGCTAAATCATGACCTTTTCCTTCTGTACTCCTCATGTGCCTTGACTTCACCCGTCATTCCTCAGTCAGGTACTGAGCAGGCGTTTCACAGCAGGAGCGCTCATCATTCATGCCAGCAGGATGGGTGAGGGAAGCATTGCTCGTTGACCGTTGGCATTGGCATGTAGTTCAGAGAGTTTGTAACATGGAGTTTTGGCCAGGAATCCCAGAGCCTGAAAGTGAGAATTCCTGTGTCATCTCAGAGGGTGGCTGTAAGGAAACAGACTTCTGAAGGGCTCTTCATTCATACATGTGAGAAGCTCCAAAAATGCCGGGACATCTCACGTTTATGAATTTGTCTCCAGATGATTATCCGATAAGCACCAAATTTATGTACAGTAGATACTCATTACAGCATTTTTTTTTTAAAAAAAAAAAGAACAGTTGGAAGCAGCCCAAATGCCCAATAATAGATTTAGTAAATCAGTTACTGTCCATGTAAAAACAGACACTACAACGTAAGATGTAGGTTTACTTATGTGTGCATGTGTGCGTTCTCATGTATGCACTGCACATATGTGTACATGTGCATGATGTGCATATGCATGTGTATTTTAACAGTCTCAAGAAGTATCGCCAAAGCCTTCCAGTGTCTGCTCTGATTCTGGGATCACTGCTGATCCTCAATGAATATATCTCTCATATTTTCAAGGTAAGGAATATGTATTTTTACCACTATGAAAGACTTATTTGAAAGTCTCATCTTTGAGTTTCAGGAAAAATTTTCTAAGTATAAAGGAATACAAATTATCTAAAATTACAGATAATTTGATTTTTATAGACACATTTACTTGAATCTCAAACATTAAAAGGTAAAAAACAACTGGGTGCCAGTGGCTAATGCCTGTAATCCTATTTACTCAGGAGGTTGAGATCTGAGGTTTGCAGTCAAAGCTAGCCCTGATAGAAAAGTCCCTGTGAGACTCTTACCTCCAATAAACTACTCAAAAAAGCCAGAAGTGTTGCTGTGGCTCAAGTGGTACAGTGCTAGCCTTGAGCACAGAGAGGCTCAGGGACAGTGCCTAGGCCCTGAGTTCAAGCCCTACAACCAACTAAAAATAAAAATAAGAAAATGAAAGGTAAAAAAGCTAGATGAACATTTTCTACAAATATTATAGGCATAAGCATTCTAAATTATTAGGAAAGAACATGTAATTGATGTGTGTTTTTTAAAAAAACCTGATAGGTAGATACTATAGTGAGAAAATAAGAGAAAATGTACACAGTTGCTATTAGCACTTCTGTGTGGGGATGGGAGATGCTGTTAGATATAGCACTTGTGTTTTTTTGTGCTTTATAAGCTTTCTGCACAGAGGGCAGGCATGACTTCTACGACAGTAAGGTCACTTCCTGCCATCTTTGCTGGGTCTGCCCCCTGGAGGCCTGCTGGCTGGGAGGTTAGGGGCAGTACTCTGCAGAGCCATTCCTCAGTCCTTAGTGGATCACCATCGCTGGAGGGGCTCTCTGGAAGGTTCAGAAGATGTATTTTAGACACCTTCAATACACGGGTGAGAGGCAACACATACCCTGTATCTGATTCTGATGAGAGTAACTCACTCAGAAAAGTAGGAAAAGAAAGGGAATGCAAGCTTGAAAATGGTAACAAATACATGTACTGGTGTTGAAACAAAAAAATATTTAATAAATTATTTGCAAGTTGATCATACATAAATTCTATTGGTATAATTTAAAAAGATTAAAACATGGCTATGTGTATGGGTGCTTTCATCTACTTGAAACAACGGAATCTTTGTTATTAAATAGGAAAGTGAAACAAAAAAATGCACTGTCCCTGGAAGCAGACTGGTGTGTGTGTGTGTGTGTGTGTGTGTGCGCGCTCGCGCGCGTGCGTGTGTGTGCGTGTGCGTGCGTGTGTGCGTGCGCGCGTGCTTGCGTGTGTGTGTGTGTGTGTGTGTGTGTGTGTGTGTAAGGCACTGAGCAGCTAGGCTTCTGCATGCCCGGCAGGATGGAGGCCCGTGGGGTGATGTGGCTCGGGCCAGGTTAACTGGGTGTGCGTCCTCCGGCCTCCTCAGGTCAGAGGACATCAGTGTTGCAGAATGCTATCTTTTGAGGTAGAGAAGTAAAGACGCTCACTGCTGACTACTTTCTTTGTTTCTCCTCTTTCTGCTGAGGCCGCCACAGAGCATGATCGTTATTTAGAGTTGGTAATTGCAGTAGTGGATCTGTGGTAGGAATTGAGTTGAATCACCCTTGCCTGTCCTCCCCAGCACAGAAGCCCTTTTAAACCCAGTTACCCCACCTCCGCCTCTTGTCAGAACTGTGGGACTGTACTATTTAGAGAGAGTTAATGAGATGCTTGGTCCCAAGATCTGGAGAAAATCAGAGTCAAGGCCACCCTTCCCAGAAGTCAGATCCTTGCTGTGGCCTGCTTGGGTTTGGAATCTCTTCCTTCACAGAGACAGTCAAAGTCTGACTCCTGCAGACACCTATGAACAGGAGTGTCCAGCCACCGAACCTCCAGTGTAACCTCAGATCCCAACATGAGCTTGCAAGTGCTGTCCCTACTCCGCTGGCTTGCCACGGGGTAATGCTTGCTCATCCTCTCCCAGCCCGGCAGTTCCGGAAGCTCCCAGTGCATGTTGCAAGGAGCCCCAGGCCTACCCCTTCCCCAGCACAGACGGAAACTGGTCCTGTGGTAGTGGCATCATTACAAG